TGCCATGTGACCCTGCCATGTGACCCTGCCATGCGCTGGTCTCTTCTGACCCGGCTGAGTAGCTGGCTTAACACAGCTGCCCTATTTATAGGTGTGAACAGCGCCACCCGCATAACTGTGAGGTCAGTGCGGTGGGTGGGGACACATTAACAAGGTGTCATTTTCCCAGGCCTCCAGGCCCCCGCCGTGGCGATTTAGATGTTTCACCCCCTGCCAGCCTGAGTGTTTGTCTGTCTGTCTGTCTGCCTGAGTATCTACCTGTCTGCCTGAATGTCAAAGTGTTTGTCTACCTGTCTGTCTCTCTGCCTAAGTGTCTGCCTGTCTCAGTGTCTGTGCACCTGTCTGTCTGTTTGCCTCCCTGAGTATCTACCTGTCTGCCTGTCAGTCTGTCTGAGGGTCTATCTAAGTGTCTGTGTCTGTCATAGGGCTGAATTTTAAAAAATCAGTTTTCTGATTCAAATCAATCTTCATTTGCATAATCCGATATCAGTTTGTTATATCCCAAGATTGATTTATGCCTTTAACAGTCTATGGTCTCTTTCTCCGTGGACGTGTGAAGCTTTAACTCCATTAATTTGTCGTGGGCAACCTCACGCAACGTGATCTGGCGACAGAAACAGATAAACATGGTGGGGGCGACTCCACTGAAGGTATCGTCAAGCCCAAAAGCAGAGACTGGGTACATTTCGGATTTCAGAAACAGGAAGACGAGAGTGAAGTTGTATGTAAGGAAAACTGCAGAAATACCACAATTTTAAAGAGACGTCATCCAGATGCACAATCCGCATAAAAACGTCTGCTCCAAAACATACTGCTCATGTTAAATGAAAAGTTCATTAATGCATCTGGTTTGGGGTAAATTCTTCATACACATATGAATAGTTTTAATAATGCACCAAGGTAGAGGGTTCCTTGCACAATTTACAGCATTAGTTATCTGAGAATCTCTTTCCTATTCAAGCATCATTGCTGTTGTAACTGAAATACCCATAATCAAATCAATATGAAATCAAATTGAAAATTGAATCGAATCAAATCGAGACCTTGTGAATCGGAATGGAATCAATTCAGCAAATCAGTGGCAATAACCTGTCGTAGTCTGTCAGGGGTCGGCCGATTATTGGCCTGGCTGAGTATTGGATCCAGTATTCATCATTTTTATGACTATCTATCTATCTATCTGTCTATCTAACTATCTATCTATCGTGAAAGACAGGCACAGAGGAAGGGCTACCGTG